TGATGTGGGCTAATCTTACTGGAGTTAGATGATATCTCAAAGTAGTTTTGATTTGCATTTCTCTGATGATTAAGGATGATGAGCATTTTTTCATAATCTAAGACATTTTATACATAATTTTAAAATGTTTTATTAAACTTCACATAATCATAAAAGTTTACTTACAAGTTATTTAGATATACAGAATTTTGTAAAATGCTTTAAAAAGTTATCAGTGCTTTTGAAGATCAGTATGACTCTCTCTGATCATATAATCCATGGGGATTATTTTGTAGGTAATCATTATTCCAGTGTTGCTACACATAAATGATTTGTCATATGTATATTTCAACTTCACCTAATAAGATTTAAAGAGGGGTGCTATTACTGCTATGGTAATTACTGGGGTCCCGCCCTGGGGACAAGGTCCCACCCTGGAGACAGGGTCCTTTAAGACCTGTGGAGCTGGTCTCAATTGAGCGAAGAAAAGTTAGAAGTAGTGAGAAATAAAGAGACAGAACACACAGAATAGAGTTTTCAAAGGTAGGAACATAGGGGACCACCACTAGTTTGTGGGGTACAGTGAACAGCCCTGAGTGTTTGCTTCACTCAGCTTTTATTGAAAGCTATTTGCTCATTTAGTCCAGAGGGTAAGCAGAGGAAGGGAGCAAAAACATCAGCAGTTTCTCTGAGTAAACAGGTCAACTCTTATTCTATCTATAATTATTAACTTTAAGGATCTGAGCTCCTTTGAGAAATCTGAAACCTGAGCCTTGTGTGGGAGCAGCCTTCTGCCTGTGGTCACGCACACAGATTCCCTGGGGGAAATTAATCCTCAGTAGTTCACTGTTGAGCAGATGCCATGGCATCAGTCTTCTCTGAAAAATTGGTAGAACAGAACAATTATATGTGGTACAAAAGGATAAATTTAGTTTAGAAACCATATGATTACTGTCATATATGCAGTCTGATATTGTTTCACTTAACACTTTCCTTCTTTTTTATGAGCAAATTCTGGCCACCCAATGTCTCTTTATATCATCTTACTCAATAACTTTTCCATTTCTGACCATGACTTTCTTGATTTCTGGGTTACAATTGCTACGGGCATGTGCACAGTATGACAGTGTCATAAAATCCAATGGCCCCTCTTTGAGAAGTGATAAGATTGAGACATAAAAAGAACATTAAAGAAATTAAATGTAGGTACCATGACATCTTCCTCACAAAGTAATGGCATTTGTTTCAAAAGAAACAATGTAGTCTACATAAAATAAACAAAAATAAAAGCAGAAAATCAGAAATAAGGAAAAAAACTAATGACAGGCAATGTCTCATTGTGTGCTTTATTTTGAGATGTTAATAGGTATTCTGAAAAAATAAAAAGCAAGATGTAAAAATTTCAAATCCATTTTGAAAAGGCTGCTTTTTCTTTCTCTGCTCCTAAGAGGGCTAGGACTCAAAATGCTCTGCTTTGTCTGGCAGAATACTGAATAATTTTGAGTTACAAAAAATATTCCACCACAGATACTTTTTTCTTTTCTGGATCTCAAAATGTTCCCCTTTGTCTGGCAGAATACTGAATAATTTTGAGTTACAAAAAATATTCCACCACAGATACTTTTCTTTTTTGGATCTCAAAATGTTCCCCTTTGTCTGGCAGAATACTGAATAATTTTGAGTTAAAAAAAAATTCCAATACTGATCCATTTTTTTAAAACAATATATACACTTCAAAATCAGGTGTCACATTTCTGGTGCCAAAGAAGTAAGCACACTCTGACTCCTATATCTTATTAATTGAGATAAGAAATTGAAATAATATCTTACTAATTGAGAAGAAACATCCATTTTCTCACGGGAAACATTATTATTTTTTTTATTTAGAGATAGACTTAAAAAAATAATGGTGGAAATGTGAGATAATACATTGTTTGTATGAACTGGTGCATTAAAGTAGTTGATAAGATAAGGTAACTGGGAGGCACTTGAGTGAATGTTGCTTACTGTGAACCTCAAACTCCCAGGATCAAGCAATCATCTTGCTTCAGCCTCCCCAGTAGCTGGGACTATAGGCACCCACCACAATGCCTGGCTAGTATTTCTATGTTTAGTAGAGACTGGTTTCACTCTTTCCCAGGCTGGTCTTGAATTCCTGAGCTCAAAAAAATCCACCCACCTAGTCCTCCCAGAGTGCTAGGATTACAGGCATGAACCACCAGCCCTGGCCAAGGCCCAGGTTTTAGATTTGTGTAAGTGAATCTTTTCTCTGCTTATCTATGTACTGTGTAGAGTATTTTTGTAAACTATAAATCAAATATTCTAAACTCTCTAGTAACCAACAAACATGTAATTTTGTTTCAGATTTTGTTCTTGATTTCTACTTGGTGTTGGACACATGCTGATTGAAGCTGAATTTCTCTATCAATTTATCTGTACAAAACTTCTGATGTTTCAGGTATTGTCGTGTGCTTTTGAAACACATCCTTTTAGTAAAAACTGCATTAATTATACAATATTATTGATATTCTAATTCTTCCATTGAGGAAAAAGTATTCTTACAAGCAAAACTTAGGAAAAGCTCCACAATTTTAATAATGAAGTAGTTAACTTACATATGTTCCTAGTAACATAACATACTTCTTTCTGATTCTCTACTTCTTAATCTTTTTGTTTCCTAATCATGCTCATGCTATACTGATCATCAACCTATGGGATCACATGCTTTATAAATCACTGGGTAAATGTTTACCCAGTTAATAAATTGGTTTCACTTTTTGTGGTACTAGCTGAGTAAAAAGCCTGTTTATCATGGTGTGGGAGAATAAGACCTTCAACTCTGACTTCGTCCTGCTGGGAATCTTTGATCACAGCCCCACCCACACTTTTCTCTTCACTCTCATCATAAGCATCTTTGCATTGGCCTTCCTGGGAAATACTGCCATGGTTCTCCTTATCTCCCTGGACATGCAGCTCCATACCCCCATGTACTTCCTCCTCAGCCAACTATCCCTCATGGATCTCATGCTCATCTGTACCACCGTACCCAAGATGGCCTTCAACTACTTGTCTGGCAGAAATTCCATTTCTGAGGCTGATTGTGCCACACAAATTTTCTTTTATATATCACTGCTTGGCTCTGAATGCTTCTTATTGGCTATTATGGCTTATGACCGCTATATTGCCATTTGTCACCCTTTAAGGTACACAAATCTCATGAGCCCCAAAATTTGTGGACTTATGGTTGCCTGCTCCTGGATCCTGGGATCTACGGATGGTATCATTGATGTTGTAGCTACATTTTCCTTCTCCTATTGTGGGTCTCGAGAAATAGATCACTTCTTCTGTGACTTCCCTTCCCTGCTAATCCTCTCATGCAATGACACATCAACATTTCAAGAGGTTCTTTTCATCTGCTGTATAGTTATGATTGTTTTCCCTGTAACAATCATAATCGCTTCCTATGCTTGTGTTATTCTGGCTGTCATTCAGATGGGTTCTGGGGAGGGTCGCCGCAAAGCTTTTGCCACCTGTTCCTCTCACCTCATGGTAGTGGGAATGTACTTCGGAGCAGCCTTATTCGTGTACATACGGCCTGCTTCCGATCGTTCCCCAACCCAGGACAAGATGGTGTCTGTCTTCTACACCATTCTCACTCCCATGCTGAACCCCCTCATCTATAGCCTCCGCAACAAAGAAGTGGCCAGAGCGTTCATGAAGGTAATAGGGAAAGCTAAGTCTGGAGAGTGGGGTGCATAATTATCTTCATGCTTTGTTGTCTAATAAATTCTTTTTATTGCCTCTCTTTTTAAATTTCATTTAGTACTAAAAATAGCATTCATTGCATACATATACTTGTACTAGCATATATATGGGCATTTATATAACTTAACTATTTCACAGAAATTATATTAAATTAATAATAATAAAAATAATAAGTTAATATTTTAACTATGTTATATTGAATATCATTGTGACTACAATATAAGGCATTTTCTAATAAGGACATTAGAATTTCTTTTTAATAAATAAAGAATTTTGTGGTGCATGTCAGGTGATAAACAGCTTCTTTTCCCAAGGTATAAACTCACTTATTGGACCTCTTCAAACTCACTCTGGAATAAAAGTTGATACACTGAACTTTTATATAGTCAATATTTTATAGTGAAATTTAAATTTTCCCAGGCTTCTAAAAGATACTGCTATAATTTCAATACAGATGACATTTTAAAATTCCAGGATTTTTTTCCATCGCAAAAGTTTAATTACAAAATCACAGATCCAAAATCATTTCCATGTTGTCAAAACCCTTCTAAGGTCTATGCACTGATCCAATGAGAAAATTATCTCATTATTCAGATTTCAAGTGAATGGAGAATTTACAAGACCTGATACTTATAAGTTTTATTAATAATTATAGATCATATTTTGAAATTCAGATTATATGTAAACTTTTCTTCATTTTCCAAGAGAAATATCTTATTACATAACAGTACAAATAAGAGGTTTATAATTCAGTTGCTGACACATTCCCTATAATGAAAATTATTTAGTTGCAATTACATAAACTTTACTTGTACTATTGATTCATAAGATCAAATCTTTATAAAATTGCTTCAGCATTTCTATTTATTGAGTTTATGGAAGAACACAAAATCCTATGATATAATTCTAGTCTTTTTTAAATTACTTTATGAGAATTACATATAGAATATAAATTAAGTGGCTGAAAAAGATGTTTTCACAATGGCCCAAAGTCATAATTTAAGAACATATTATTTGGAGACTATTACATTCCTACAGTAGAAGTTATTTAACTTTGAATGAATAGCAAACCTATACATTAATTAACAAATATACTTATAGCTATTAAGTTTTTTATTATTATGTATGTATATGATCTTCAGCATATGTATAACAACTTTTATACGTTGGGTTGAGGTAAGTAAAGATTGAAAAATATTCAATCATCTCATTATTTTTCTAACAATTAATCAGGAAAGAACTGTGATTATAGTTATTATAGTTATATATTATATTATATATTATATATATATTATATATTATAGTTATATTATAGTTATCTAAAACCACTTGGTCAAATTAGAAAATTAAATTCTTTGTTTTTTTCTTTCTTTTATTCATTTATTTATTTATTTTCCTTTTATGAAGTCATATATACCTTGATCATGAATACATTTATGTCTTTGTGGGATTCAATGTATTGATTTTTCATACAAATTGGAGTGCTTATATCCAACTAATTAACATAGCTTTCACCTCATTTACTTAATCACTGTGTGGCATTTGTGTTCTATACTTGATAGATTAAATTAAATTTTGTAATATCTGCCTTTAAGCATAATACACTTTAGATTCATTAAAATTAGATTTATTTATACCTATGGATCTATGATTATACTGAAATATAGATAATTCAATTCAGACAAATAATGATTTTTGATAATCAATTTTTGATAATCAATAATGATTTTTTTGATAATCAATTTTTTTTAAATTGACAGTGATATTTAAGGAGGTATTTTCCAAGGTTATTAATTTTTTAATTTATATATAATATCAACTTTCAAATTAATATAAATTACTGGTAAGGAAAATGCAACTAGACACTATTTAAATTTTACTGGCCATGACAAACAGAAAACAGGCTCTGGACTTTGTTCCCAGTCTGAGCAATTCCCAGCATGCAGGACAATACTCATGCTACAGGGTGGTTTTTACAACTCCCCACATGAACTCCCTTCTACTTTGATCACAATATTGCTAATAGTTTAAGATATTCTTTCTTTGTTATGATTTATTTATGTCAAAAACATATTATACATCTATTCTGATCATGGTACCATGGATTATGTGGTATATATTTTGTTATTTCTTGGAACACTGAGAACACTCAAAATTGCTCAATAAATTATTTGTGAAAATAATTACCACCATTCTGGTTACTGTGAAGAGTGGCCTCACTTTGCTGTTTTTTCTTTCTTCCTCAATATTCCTGTTTCATCAGTTTTACTAAATATAATTAACATAGATTGGTGCTGATCCATCAGAATCTTTTTAAATCTAGGAGATGTCTCTCTTAAACTTTCACTTGGTATCACCTAGAAAAAATGCTATCTTCATTTTCCCTTTCAAGTCTCTGATGTCACCAAACTCCCACTTTAATTTGTTCTGCTGATTATAAATTCAATTTAATAAGTGAACATTCAAGATTATTTTCAAATATTATGACTTACATCCTAATTTTAAAAGATGCTTAATTTTTTTCTTTCAGTTAATGATTTTGTCTACTTATGTTATTGACCATTTAATAAGGCTATTTATATTCTCATCAATTTTATTCACAGACAAAATAATTAAAGCAAAATATATAATAGGGTAAAACCTCACTCAACGTTGGTTTATTTTGAGGAACTTAAAACTTATGATATTAATTCAACAATAACTCAATTCACACACCCATCTTTGTATCAGCTTTATGTAATGTGTATGTTTTTTTAATTTGCAGACTCCTGCCTTCAACCTCCCACTATGTGTTAACACATATATACACACACAGAGCATCCATTATTTTGGGGTACTTGGATGGCACATTCATTCTTAAATCTTACCAATATTACTGGGCATACCATGGCTCCTCAGGAATGAGTTTAGAAAAAGTTTCTATAGTAGTTTTAGTACAATCAAGCAGGGAAGAACTAACTATACAGGGATTTACAAAGGAAAGCATTTGATACAGAAAATGTTTAACTATAATATATAAGGAAACTCTATACTACTAGAAATTTCTTAACATAGGCCAGAGAGAGAGAGCACCCAAGACAGTTGGAAGGGATGTATATATACAAGGCACCGAGGAAGATTGGTTCAGTAGTGAAGTGCTACAGGATAGCACTTGTTTAGTGTTGCTGGGCAAAAATTAGGCAGCTTTCTAAAGTGCAAGCCAGGGAACAGGTAAGCAGCAACCAGTGCCCTGGGCATATAGTTAAAGTCCAGGTGCCAATGGGGGGAGGGGGCAGAAGTTGTTTGGAGCACAGGAGCTGGTTAGCATGGCAACAGTGAACTTATCAAAAGAAATATTGCTCAACATGTGACCTTCAGGCCACAGACAGCCTTATGAGTGTTACACAAGGCTCTATTTCTATGTTATCAAGGATGCAGAAATGGTGTGGCGGCCTGAGATAGATGATGTTCTAGGTTCCTGCCTGTGGCATGATCAACTATAAATTCTCACACCCAGATTTATCTTTCCTAATCTTCTCCAGAGATTGCATGAAGTGTCTTCTTTAGGTAGTGTTTCTCTAGAATCTGGTACTGAAAAAGCTAACATCATGTGCACTTTAAAGGAGAAATGCTTGAAGAAATGCCATTGATTGTTATAGAGCTTATATTAAAGAATTCATCTGGAGCCAATGGGCAGTAAATTGACAATTGGCAGTCTACAGCTTTGGCCATTAGACTTCTATATGTATTTTGTAAATGATTATATGTCTCTGTACAGAGGAATAAATTTATATTTCTTGAAAATAAACAAGTTCTAACTCTTCTCCACAATAAGATAACATTGCAGTCGCTGCAATCATTCCATACACTGTGGACTATGTTAATTATTTATCAAATTTAGTCATGGTCTCACTGCATACCCTGCTACCTAAAGACTAAGCTGTAAAATTAATCTCCAATAATGCTTATATAATTTTTTAAAGTGGGAAGGCAGAAATGGGAAGTTAGAAGGAGAGAATGATTTGTATATATGAATAAACACCTGGATGTAACAAGCACAGAGAAAACACAAAACCCCAGAAGTCCTCATCCTCATTTCTGTAACTGGTTGTGAGTTCATTGTTAATATCAATGGCTTTCTTTAATTTCTATTTTGTATCTTTTGCTTTTCTGGCACCTCAGTCACATTTCATTTTTTACCAGGCAATGTGACCCAAATCTTCATTCTCAGAGGTTCTAAGTCTTCAGTCATTCTGTATTGCTTTTGGTGTCTGTGGTTTTTCATATACTATATTATTAGATATACAAATACTAAAAGGTACCCAAAAGAATCTCCCAGGCTTTCTTCTATATATTGTATCAGAATCAATCACTCCACTCTGAAGATTCACTCCTCTGTTTGTTTACTGGTTCAGTGGCAATAAGAATCAGCAAAGTTGAATGTCAGTTTCATCTTCCAATTCAAGACAATAATAGCTGTATTCCCTAGTGAAAGCATTCCCTATTTATGGAATAAAATCTTCAAACCAAAAAAGGCTAAGATTTCTAGGACAGGAATCACATATTCTACAAATGGATTACTAGGTATAGTGATAAGAGGAGCCAAACCACTTTCACTGCTTAATTCCTAGATTCATGCATTCTGGCTATGGGGAAGAGACAAAGTTCTACTAGCATAAGATATATCCAAGACATAACATTATCTTATTAGGGGGTTCTTTCTCAATTGGTGATGCAGTTGAATATTTAACAAGCAACTCCACTTTTTTATAAGAAAATGAAGTTTTTAAAAATAGGCTATTTTAATCAGTTTGGTGAAAATATTTCAAATTGTATATAAAACCAGCACACTGTAACCCATGACTGCATGTACACAGCTATGATTTAATAAAAAATAAAATAAAATAAAATGGTTAAAATGGTAAAAAAAAATTAATTAAAAAAATTAATTTCAGATTAATATGAGAGCACATACAACTAGGTTACATTGTTTGCCTTTGTAAAGTCAAGCCCAT